TTGGTTGGGAAACAGACATAATCTTTGTGATATTTACTTCAAGTATGATAAGAAGAATTATTTTTTTCCTTTACTGTCATATATTATCACTGAACAATTGTTGAAGGAACAAAAATATATACAGTAACTTCTGTGCACCTTAATTTGCTCCTGCTGTTTGACTTCCCAGTGTCAACCCATCACTTAATGTCAGCAGCATTACTTTCTTGTCCACATTACCAAGTCCAAGTGTCCGGGATATTAAATATGCTTGCAATTATATGTAAGAGGAAGGGAAAAAGTGATCCAAGCATTTCCTGTACTGTAGAAACACCTGAATATTGTTTCAGCTGAACTGTGTCTGACTTGTTGACAAAGTTCCCCTCCAAAACAGTCCTTAGTCCTGATCCTTAATGAAATACCATTTTTTTTGTTAATGATTCTGAGTTTTACGAACCCTTTCAGCTTCATTAAGAGAGCTTTTCTGGATAGGTCTAAGGATGTAACCACCCCAGACTCTGAGCATGCAGCAATGCCACCAGCTTTCACCTGGTACTGTACTACAGAAGTTACTTTCTCACTTTCTCATGGTTCTAAGGGAGGGATCTGATCCCAAGCTTGCAACTGTGGTGCATCTTGAATGGTTAAAAAACTCTGGTCAAGACATTCCCCAGAGGAAATACCTTTAAGAGAGAATAAGGAATTGTTTTCCATTTCCCTGGTGCCTAACAATAAAGCTGTTGATAGAGGTTTCCCTCTGGATCCCTCTCAGTTGTTTGCCACCCACCTCTAATGTTACTCCTGCAGCTGACCTGTTGAGAGATTCCTGTGAGGATTCCTAATATGTTCTGGGCAAAACCATAGAATCAAAGAATCATAGAATGATTCATAGAAAGGACCTCAAAATAGTTTAATTTCAACCCCCTGCCATGGGCAGGGACACCTTCCACTAGACCAAGTTGCTCAAGCCCTGTCCAGCCTGGCTTTCAACACTGCCAGGCATGGGGTGGCCACAGCTTCTCTTGGCAACCTGTGCCAGGGCCTCACCATTCTCACATCAAAGAACTCCTTCCTTATATCTAACCTAAAATTCCCCTGTTTAACAAACCCATTACCCCTTGTCCTATCACTACAGTCCCTGATGAAGAGTCCCTCTCCAGAGTCCTTGTAGGCCCCCTTCAGATACTGGAAGGCTGCTGTGAGGTCTCTACGCAGCCTTCTCTTCTCCAGACTCAAGAGCCCCAATTTTCTCAGCCTGTCTTCATATGGGAGGTGCTCCAGCCCCCTGATCATCCTCGTGGCTTCCCCTGGACTTTCTCCAGCAGCTCCATGGCCTTCTTATGTTGAGGACACCAGAACTGCACACAGTGCTGCAAGTGGGGTTTCACAGGAGCAGAGTAAACTGTTTCAAATCCTAGCCTGCATTAAATGGCAGATCCCAGGTAAATTATGTGTACATCTTCTAATTGTCCTACATGTGTCACATTTCCTGCATTTTGTGGGAGATCCCATATTGCTCACTATCCTATGAGTTTCACACCATAGCTAACAGAGAATTAGATTGAGAATTTAACTTAGCACAATTCATTTGTCCCACATAATTTGGAAGGTCTCATACTTCCTTCTCTGTAAGCAGATTGGTGAGGGCAGGACATCCCAGCAAACTAATGGTAAAATGGTAGGGTCACCTCTTCCATTAACACATCTGAATCTGGAAGAGGATGATTTACTATTCCCACCCCAAGCTCCTGTTGAAATGAACAATCCCATTCCTCACAAAGGACTAGTAGCTCTGCTGCATATTTAACTGGAATGGTAATATCACCAGTTGCATAGTTGAAGATGTAAGAATTATCATATAATTGAGCTAATTGCTTCCAGAGGGAAAGAAACAGAAAGAAGCTCCAAAAAGGTATTTGAAAATCAGACTTTACCTCTAAGTAACACCGTTTGCAGAGCTTTCAATGTCAGGTGGAACATAAATTATTGATTATTCTTTCTTGTAAGCATGTATATTTTCTGTCTTCTGTTAAATCTTTTCTCCCATCTATTGGGTCATGCTAACAGCTTCTATAATAAAATGTAGTACATACAGGTGACCAAAATGACTGTGTATTCTGAAGAATTAGCTGCAGTTAGTAACTGTTGATGCTGCATTCAGCGTTGCATTTTTCTAGTCCTGAGACACTGAGTAAGTGCAAAGCTGTGTTAACTCTTTTGTGATAGCTGGACCAGTAGCTGGTTAAAGTCAAAGGAAAGATCCCCATTAACTTCAGTTGTCTGTGAATGAAGATCTTGATATATATAGAAAGCCCCTGAAAGCAAAGTTTTGTTTTTTTAATGTATTGTCTCATTTGTTGAATAGCATGGCTTACTGCCCAGTGTTACGGCAGTGCACAATGACTATTCTTCCCACCCATTCTCCTTCTCTTCTTTCCTCATTAATCAGTGATGGATCACATTCAAATGTTTTGGAAGTTCTGTCTGGTTTTGATGTGATGGTACATAAAAATATCTACCAAGTAGTTATTAGGGTGCTTGGTGTGGCTGCATTTGTCCTGGGGAAACCTTCCCCTCCTATCTGAGAGCAGCAGCACATTTTGTGGGAAGGTTGGCAGCTCTACAAGGTCTTCTTTGAGGGGGGCTCCACTCCCTCTGCCCCAGTGGTACATCCATCATTTTTTGGTTTTCCTTTCCAAAATGCTTTTCACAAAAGTCACTTCCTTGTTTCACATTACTCCATGCTTTGTGAATTCAGACTGAAACATGCTGTGAAACAGATCCGTATCTGGTGTAAATCAGCATCATCCTGTTGCTGCTCTCAGCAGCAGAATGATGCTGATTTTTGGAGCTACAAATTCTGTACCCATGGAGAGAGAATCTTGCCCATGGACTTCTGCACAAAGGGGCAGTTTTGGTGGAATAAAAAAGGATTCATGTGTTTTGGGAAGAGATGTTAGCAGGAACAGCAAAAGGAAAATACCACCTACACAAGGTTTCACTTCATGGATATTAACATCTCTGTTCTGCCTAATACAATAATTCTGGATGATTTTTTTTTTTTCTTTTTTTGCTGTGACAACCCTCATATTGTTCACTTCTGGGTACTAGAAATTGGTGCCAAGCAAAAACAGGCCCAGGCTGCTAACTGTAGAAGAGAGCTCAATTAGTATCATAAAATAACCATATATAAATGTCTCTTTTGCACTCCCATTCCTTATATAACTCACCACCCCAAGCACCTTTTGAAAAAGTGGCTCAAAGTTTATTCAAGGATGCATTTGGTTAGATTTATAATATTTGTCACTTGTTGGCCAAAAGTGACATAAGGGATTTCAATGTGCTGCTTTTAACGTGGTGACACTGCCTTTAATTTAGCATTAGTGATTATATATGTTTGACTGTCAAATCACTGTATGTAGCTTTTGTGGTTGGAGGCTTGTTTTATCTAAGAATTCTGCTGAAGCTCTTCCAAACCAGAGCTCTCATGTGTATAATTATATTGTATTTTCATTATATAAACTTTATTTTTAAGACTGAAAACATATGAAATGATTATGGAAATGTGCATTCTATAAAACACCACCATGTATTTGTGGGTAGAGAAGCTTATAACAGAAATCAAATGTTGTCATTAATACATAGGTACAAGATTCATCCATGTGACCCATAAAACTAATGATGGAAGAGAGGGATCTGAAAAAGCATACAACTGCTCTTCAGATTGAAAGATATTTGTAGCACCCTTTTCTATGCATTAAATGGCACCTACTTGAGACTCTGTGGAAGTAGATGTCATAGCCTGCTGTTGAACAGTACTTGTAGATCCAAGTTAGGTGTTTCCAAAATACCTTTCAAAGTGACACTTCAAAAAAATAATAATTACTTCATTAATATGTTTGATTGGTGCAAATACAGCTCTGTTAGAGACCTATTTTGTTGCGAGACAACTATTTTGGTTGTTTGTCCTACAACTGTACACTGGGATGATGTCCTTAGATTAATTTCATTGTCTTCTGTCACAACCCAATGAGGACCTATTTCCATTTTGAATAGGTGCCACACAGTCCAACATTTTAAAAGATCTGCAAGAGAATATTGTTTAAGGCAGAAGCAAATATTATATCCAACAGCAAGATCTGGCTGGGAGGGATAAACTGTGCAAGTTCTGAGGAAGCTGTCATCACCATCATGTCTACAGTCTGTATCCATTCATAGATTTTTTTTTTTATTAATAAGGCTGTCAAGCGTTGTGCCTATGTTATAAATGGGGAACTGAATCACCATGTAAATTAAGCAATTTACAAGAACATACTAAGCATGTCCATATAATTTAGCATTTGAATCCAATTCTCCTTTTGCACCTTTACTCCATTTCGCTATGTAATAAGCTGTCCTTTATTTCAAACATCTTTGGTAGCTCCCTATGTAATCCAAGATTTTTTTCCTCTCTGCCTCATTAAGTTTTGCTTGATTAATAGTGACTCTTTAAAAAAAATCCACAAATGAAATAAAGACTCTAAAGGGGGTGCCATGAAAGCAAACCATTGCTTATATATATATGTGTATATATGCACATACAAACATAGCACAGAGAGCAAGACAGATACACACATTCATACACAGAGCAAACTAGTGGATACAGCCATCATCAGAACAATCTATGAATCATCTAAGATAAATGCTAACTCTTTCAAGGCAATCCTATACAATAGATCAATAAACAGTATCTTCACTTTGAAGCTGGGAATTCAGACCCAGTCATTTGCAAGCTAAAAAATAGGTCAAGGAATAATGGTGATAATTTGCCTTATCACCAAGCAGTGTGTGTGACCCTTGTCATCTGTAAACTGCTGACAAGCCCACTCATGTGGGCTGATTCTTCTGTAGGGGTCCTTGATGTTACAGTGCTGTAAATCCGAGTGGAAAATCAGGGCCAGAGTTTAAAAAATCCCTCTATGCATAACTTAAAAGTTAAGATATAATAAACTTTCAAAAAGACAACAAATGCAGAAAAATACCTGAGTCATTCCTAATCACCAGAGAAGTCACCTTAAGATAGTTTTGTGGGTTTATGTAGCAAATTTCTGCACAGCATTCTCAAAGTCCACAGCCTGAGTCACTCTAAGGTGAACTGCTCTGGGGCAGCCTGGAAACTGATGAATCTCTGTTGAGCAGTATGTATGTTTTCATAATCTTCACTTTAAGGTATGCCCATTCAACATCTAAGCTTCTGACCATTGGATAAGGAGATGGAAGCAGATGGAATGTGATTTCAGCATTTGGAAACACTCTGTGATTAATCTCTTCTTTAAGTGTGCTTATGTTTGAGGGACTTTGCATGCAGGCTGTCTCCTCAATGGTATGTTAAACTCTCTGGTCCAAAGAGTGCAAGAGGCAATGTGGTGGAGAAGAGGAATCCAAAAGGATGGAAAAACTGCAAAATACATTTCTTTAGAAGCACTGAAAAGGAATTTTAAAGGTTTGAAGAGCCTTTCTCATTTAAAGGAAAAATAATAAACTCTGATAATTTATCCAAACTCACCACATATAATTAAACGTTTAGGGGTCTGGAGTTGCAAAACAAGAGATGGTGGTTTCCACTATCTCCACAACGTATTTAATTTGCCAGTACATCATGGGTTCAAACACTGACATCTCTCAAAATGTTTGCAGATGATTTTTGTAGATTTTCAAAGCTCTACTAATTGCACCCTTCACTCATTCCACATCTCCATGTGTGTCCTGTCACTGGTGTCTTTTAAAATTTGTCTTTTGCAGTCTCAGCACTGGTTTTTGGTATAAGGGAGGAGTTTGCAAGCATACTGTATTTTAGCGTGGCATTTAGGCTTAGCTTCCATTGTGTGTGTATTTCCACTGAAGACAATTGGTTCATATTAGGTATTCTGCAGATCCAGTACTGAGTTTCTTACCATTTCTGGAGAGCAGAAGAGAGTAGAGCTAGAAACCTAATAACTGGTTTGAAGTCAATACAGAATTATCCTCAGCTTTTCTCCCAAACTTCTGTAAACAACTTCCCCACTCCCAAAATAACTTGCAAACTGTCTTTCCTCCTCATCATACTTATATATTCCTCTGCACTTCCTGATCTTGGCAGGGATATTTCAGAAATAGCTATTACAATGGTGTTTCCACTCTGAAAGAGGAAACACTGGATGGGAGGAGTTATGAAAGGAACAGAGGAAGCAAAGCTGTTTTCATACCATCTCAAGCTCCACTTTTATAGCAGAGGTAGAAATGCGTCTGGGTGAAGCATGCCACTGAGCCATAGGAGCCCCATCACACACAGCACAAGGCCAAAAGTGAATATGCATAAACCAGAGCGTGTGTGGCTCCTTTCATCATTCAGCACAGCTGATGCTGACAGGCAGCTCTAAAGTGTTGAACAAACTGAATGAATCAAGGTCAGCCCAGAGTCAGCAGCAAGCTTCCCTCCCTCCACGATTCACTGATACATGAAAGGTACTGACTGGATGGCTCTTCTGTGCAGCTTTGTGCAGAGCAGTCATACAGTAGAAGCTGCTCTGTCACATGTTTGTTAGCAATCCAAGATTTTAATTCTGAACTCTTCCATGAAACCAATAGCTATATTTTCTGGCTCTGGCCTGCCCGAGTACTTGGCCAGGGCTATGGGAATGAAATGTCAAAGCAGGCTGCCTATGAACTGAGATTGCTTTCATGCGTCTCCACCTGCTGGCTGGCATTTCACTAATTGCAACAGACCAGAGAGATGACAGCGTGCTTCCCAAGGTAACGAGCTTCCATGGAAAATCAGCTCTGTTCCACAAGAAGATAAGCAAATAAGCCTGATGGGAAAGATTATTTTCTATCTTGATAAAGAGCAACATCCTGCATAGCAGCTGACAGGTAGAAGGCCGCTGAGATTTTTCAATTCAAGCTTTTAAACTTCTGAAGCCTCAGTTGAGAAGACAAGCAGTAAGAAAGATAGAATCATAGAATAGTTAGGGTTGGAAAGGACCTTAAGATCATCAAGTTCCAAACCCTCTGCCATGGGCAGGGACACCTCATGCTAAACCATGTCACCCAAGGCTCTGTCTAGCCTGGCCTTGAACACCACCAGGGATGGAGCATTCACAACTTCTCTGGGCAACCCATTCCAGTGCCTCACCACCCTCACAGTAAAGAATTTATGTTGGCTTTCTGGGCTGCGAGCACATGCTGCTGGCTCAGGTTCAGTTTCTCATTGACCAACACCCCCAAGTCCTTCTCTGCAGGGCTGCTCTGAATCTCTTCTCTGCCCAACCTGTAGCTGTGCCTGGGATTGCTCCAACCCAGGTGTAGGACCTTGCACTTGGCATGGTTAAACTTCATGAGGTTGGCATCAGCCCACCTCACAAGCATGTCAAGGTCCCTCTGGATGGCATTCCTTCCCTCCAGGGTATCAACTGAACCACACAGCTTGGTGTCATCGGCAAACTTGCTGAGGGCGCACTCAATCCCACTGTCCATGTCAGCGACAAAGATGTTGAACAAGACTGGTCTCTACTTGTTACTGGTCTCCAGCCGGACATTGAGCCATTAACCACAAATCTCTGCATGCAGCCATCCAGTCAGTTCTTTATCCACCGAGTGGTCCACCCATCAAATTGATGTCTCTCCAATTTAGAGACAAGGATGTCATACAGGACAGTGCCAAACGCTTTGCACAAGTCCACGTAGATGACATCAGCTGCTCTACCCCTGTCCATCAGTTCCGTAGCCTCATCATAGAAGACCACCAAATTGGTCAGGCAGGATTTCCCCTTAGTGAAGCCATGCTGGCTGTCACCAACCACCTTGTTGTTTTTCATGTGCCTTAGCATGCCTTCCAGGAGAATCTGCACCAAGATTTTGCCAGGCACGGAGGTGAGACTGACTGGTCTGTAGTTCCCTGGGTCATCCATTTTCCCCTTTTGAAAATGGGGGTTATATTTCCCTTTTTGCCGTCGTCGGGAACTTCACCTGACTGCCATGAGTTTTCAAATATGATGGCCAGTGGCTTCGCAACTTCATTTGCCAGCTCCTTCAGGACCTGCAGATGGATTTTATCAGGTTCCATGGATTTGTGCATGTTCAGGTTCTTAGGATGGTCTCAAACCAGATCCTCTCCTACAGTGGGCCTAAGGTCTTCATTCTCACAGTCCTGTGTCTGCATTCCAAGACTTGGGTGGTGTGGTCAGAGCATTTGCCAGTGAAGGCTGAGGCAAAGAAGTCATTCAGAACCTCAGCCTTCTCCGAATCTAGGGTAGCCAGTTCTCCTGATAGCTTCTGGAGAGGGCCCACATTGTCCCTAGTCTGTCTTTTATTTGCAGTGTACCTATAGAATCACTCCCTGTTATCTTTCACACCCCTAGCCAAGTTTAATTCTAACTGGGCCTTAGCTTTACTAACCTGGTCCCTAGCTTCCAAGACAACATCCCTGTATTCTTCCCAGGCTGCCTGGCCTTGCTTCCACCAAGATTTTTGGAAGGAATTCAGAAAGTGTGGAAACATGGGAGTTTTATTTTACTACCAAAACCAGATGCTAAGAATGTTAACGTGCTCTCATTGACACAGTGAAAGAGGGAAATTGTTTATTAATATGTGGAAGCATGAGCATTCTGGGGCCCACAGCTTAGTTTCTGTGTGGTTGGAAAAGCAGTTACTTAGCAAATGCAGGCAAGCAGCTGTTTCAAATGGAAAGGAATAGAAATGATTAATGACTTCTATGCTTTAAAGAAATGAACCCACAGGATTTCTTTCTTCTACTGTGCTGTCCCATTCGGCCATTTCTGTCATGTGCCCTGGGACTTTATTTGGAAGTTTTCAATGATCTGTCATGAGCTACTCTTTAGAAACTTACTGGACCAGATCTGGAGCCAGACAGATGCCAGCTGTGGATGGGACCCACTTGTACATACATTTACAGACTCCAAGAACAGATTATCAGCACTTGATATTCTATGAACTTTGTACTGCAACAGCAATAGTATATCTTGTCTCAGACACTGAAGGGATGAGCACAGTAGTAAATACTATTTAGAGTAGGATCAGTGTTATCTTTTTCCTTTTGTAGCCACATTTTATTCAGGCTATATTATACAATGTAGAAGGCTTGGTGTGCTCCGAGGAACTGAAACAATAAGAGGAACAAACCCTTCCCTAAAGCCATGTTAGATATCAATACAGATTATCGGTATTTTATCAGCTTCTGCACTTCCAGCAATGGTTCGTTTTATCCTGCCCAAAATCCTAATTCTATCATCTGTTTCTCACGTATGCTTTCATTTAGGTTTTTAGGTTTTCCATGCATAGCATTGGAAGGTGGGAAAGGTTAAAAAGAGGATGAGGAAGAGAAAGAGGGATATGGAGAAAAGAAGAAGGAAGGCTATACAAAATACAGATAACGTTTTCTCTGAACTGTTCACAGCGAATCATCCAGCCAGTTTTATTAAAGTAGTATTTACCAGGGAGAGTAAATTCTCCTCTGACTTAACTTCACAAAATTAATTTGAATTTACTTCTATTCAAAAGGGTACATAATTTGATCCACTGAATGTTCTTTTGCTGTGTTTCTGATGATGTGAACTCAAAACCACCAAGTAATTTTGAAGAGTTTAATGCATCCTGAATGTGTCTAATACTTTAGCTAAGCACAGGCATCCAGCTAAAGAGAGTTCTCCTAGATTACTTCAAGACACAGCAGGACTGGAAGATGATATTTTGTTTTCTACAAGTATATCACTCTCAAGTCATCATTTCAACACAGGAAGTTATCTGTGACCTGGGACCACAATGTGCACTTGGACACAGCCTGCTGTCTGATGATATTTAAGAATCAACCACATAAGGCTTTCTTACAAAGTTGTCAAAAAGGCTCGGCTGATTATTTTGACTAAGCCTATTTAAAAATACCTGAATAAACTGATGCAAAATGAAAGCAACTTTTGCACATTTGAACTGCACCCTTCCTTTATATTCCTTATTTCCAGCATAGCAATAAAGATCAGCTCAAATGAATAGTGTTTCTATATCTCTCTGTAGATCTGCATCAGGTACTCAGGTGAATTAGTACTGATGCCATTCAAAGCTCAAAGCATGAGGATGAACATTACATGTCAGGGCACAAAATCACACATGGAGGTATAAATTCAGCTCTATGTTCAGCCCACTTTACTGAAAGCAGAAGTTGGTCCAATAGCCTGAATCTTCTTTCACAGGCTATTTTTGAAACTGATATAACTAAGGCAGGAAGTGTAAGTGTGTATGTATGTCTGTCTGTTGCTGCTCAACACCATATGAAGGCCAGATCTATTTTATGAAGTTGATTTTTATCCCTTTCTTTGTTGTTTTTTTTTTTGTTTTGGTTTTTTTTTTTTTTGTATTGCAAGATACTTCCTGAAAGCTT